TCTCACAGACCCGCTGTAAGAGAGTAGCTGTTCTTACAGACCAGCTATGAGAAAGTAGCTGCTCTGAGAGACCATCTATAATTCAGTAACTGTTAAGTAATTTTCAAAAATATATTATTTCGTACACCACAAGTATCAATAAAGAACTAGTGTTGAGTTAGGACCATGGTATAAGAAATATACCTATTATATATAACTCACTATTCCTGATTATAGAGCGCGTAATGTATTTGTAATTACTTTTTTAATTCAATAACATATTGTTAATTGCTGTTTATAAAACCAAATTAAATAAATAAACTAAAATCCTTCAAACAAACACAACATATACACTTACTAGAAGTTTTTTGACAGGATTTCACAAGCTTGGTTTTTGATAAGATTTTGACAGTTTCTAATATTTGACAGTTACTTACTGATTAAAAAAACAAATTCAAAACAAACTTGAATTAGCAAAAACACAAGTAATAGTCCATTTTTAATTTAATGAAATAAAAATTTCATACATGGATGAGGATTTTTACTAACAGTGAAAGCAAGAAACTTCTAAATACTTTCACTTAATTTTCATATGACAAGAAATATTAGAAGATGAAGTATTAGAAACCAGCTGCCCTCCAAACTTCAAACGCAGTAGAATTACATTTTTGTTCATTTCGGTCATCTGGCTGAGTCACTTTACCATTTTCGTCAAACGCCAGCTTATGATAATGAATTCCAAAACCAGTCTTAATGATATATCCATTATCCAAAATAACTTTAGCCTCCACATTTTCTTCTGTGCACTTTATTCCCATCCCAATGCCTCGTTTAAGCATGCTATTCTTCACTTTAATCAGTGCTCGTTTCTGTGTTGCCTCTGGCTTAGAATCATAAGTAGTAACAAACCGTATATATTTTAAATGTGGACATGAATCTGTAAGCATAATAATGAAATCTGTTAAGTTTTTGTAATGCTTGCTCTCATTCATATCAGGCTCATCAATTTCCACTTCAGTGATTTTCGATCGCAAATAGGGTTGAAACATGTCATTGTAACCAGCACCAACCGAATCGTCCATGAAGAGTTTGGTTCTAATTCGTTTTGCAGGAGCAAATTTTTTATCTATAAAAGCTTTTACAACTTCAATGCGTTCGACATAATTTTTTGTTAATTGCATTAATTCTCTGGATTTATAGCCTTGCGCAGTCTGCTTTTGCATCAGTTTAAACACTAGGTGCTCATAGATTGATAAAGCTTCGAATTTCCGTCCTTCTCCGTCAGATTTTACAGCTTTATTTAATAATTTGTTTGCCATATTGTAGTTCAGTTTGAGAAAAATTTTGAAACTAAATCTAAAAAAATTTTAATAAAATTAAATTTTTTTTTTTTCATTTAAGGAAATAAAAAAATTTTACCTCAAAGGTAAATAGATTTTATTTCATAGAAATTTTTTTAAATTGCGATCAGCTGTTTTTTTTGTAACGTTGTTGTTGTTGTGGTTTAAATTAGAGCTATTGCGCACTTTAACTCTTTTGTGGCTGGGAGGGCTTATATGTTACCTACCCCACACTAGGCTTTAACTAAGCAGGAATTCATATCGTTTATTTAACTTTTAATTGATGACGCACCGTAAGTCAGCATAGCTTGCTGTGGGTCTTGAAGTGAACTTGAGGTTTGTTAGGGCAGGTTTGGGCAGCGTATCAACTTTTGTGAATAATTTTCGTGCTCTGTCCCTGATATATTTTTTAACTGTCTCGATCTTCAGATCTCTGTGTATGTTTGTTATTCTAATATACCATGGAATCTTAAATAGACTTCTTATAGCCAGATTTTGTGCTATCTGTGATTGCTTAATGGCAGTATTTGAGGCTTTGGTGTATGTAACACATCCGTACAGTAGTGCTGGCCTAATTATTTGAGTATATAGTAACTTTCTATTTTTGAGGTTCAAGTGATGATTATTATGAAACAGAAAATTTGTTTTAAAATATTATTTCATATTAATATTTTTAAAAAATTAATATTTTGAGTAGAAAAATTTGTTGCTTTCCCTTAGGTAAATTGTTAAGAATTATCATTTTCATAATTAAGTGAAAGGCATTTAAGTGAAAATTAGTGAAAGGCACTGATTTCTATTATAAAAATCAAAAAATATAATATATATAAAAAAGTAATAAATATATTATTTTGAATAATAAAGGGGTTTTTCGAATAATAGTGGACTACAACAACAAAAATTTATTTTATATTATTTTTAATTAATTGTATTTCTGGCTGTCCATGCAGCAGTTTCGAGTTTGCTCATCAACAGTGGTTTCGGAAATAATTGTATTTACTTATTCCTAATAACTTTTTTAAGACTGCAAGTAGCAGGAATTGAACTCGTGCCCTGCCAAATTTGGAGCTTATAGTCAGCACATATTTTTCTGGAGTTTTGTTAATTGTCTGTGAAAGTTTTTTTATTAACAAATGCACTTGCTGTGTTTATATTAGAACGAAATCATAAACCAGCTGTAGAATAATTTAAATAATTTATTTAATTTTTTTTATTTTTTATTGTTAAATTTCATAATATTATCATTGTATGAAAAATTATAAAGAATCCTTTTATTCATTATATATTCATTATATATTTATATGGCTTCACTGCATTTAACTTATTTCGACAGAAACTATAATATAAATATATATAGCAATTAACCTATTTTCACAGAAACTACAATACAGATATATATAGCAATTGGTTATATATTTATTGATACTTTAGCTTACAATTTTAACTTAACATTTACTTTATTTATCAATGAACTTCAGTGGCTTTTATTTAAAATTCTTAACGTTGTCATTTAAGCTGCCATTAATAATTATTATTGCGATTCCATAATGGTATTTTATATGATAGCTGATCGAATTATTTACAAATAAAAACGTTTTATTACGAGCATTCCTTTTATATTGTCGCCACATGATGTATAGCATGCAGTGAAGTATTATTGCCAATAATAAAAAACAAATTAAATTGTTATAATACAATTTTTCTGCAGTTGTATTTTTAAGAACACTGAATATCAACACAAAGTGTCCTTCCTCCCGTATGTATTACTGCAGTATACTTTAATTTATTACTTTAACATGTATCTTCAGCAGTAAATTCATCGTACATAAAATTTGTAGATGCACATAAAAGTCAGACGAAAGTAGGTACACCGCTGCGTATGAGCGACATTTAAGTACGTACAATAATTTTTTTTACTTGCTTGCGACTATCGTATTTGTCTTCATATCTATATAGATATAAAAATATATAAAAATACAAACATATATAAAATTATATATTATTTGAGAATCATTTTTTTACGTTAGCTTTATTTTTGCTATGAATTTTTTATAAGGACTTTTGCTATGCTGACGTCAGGTTGACCAGTACGAGTGACCGTGTTAAGCGCGATTCCAATTTATTGTATAAAATCAAATTTTAATCGTTTTACATTTATCATGTGTAAGATTATATTACTTTATTTTTATAAAAATTCAATTTTTATTTATTAAAAAAAAATTGTTTTTTTTTTATGTTTTTGGTGGAAAAATATACACGCTTGTGTGAATATAAATTTCCGCGGTCCTCAAATTTTACCAAGTATTTATGTATTTAAAAATTTTTTCCATTATTGAAAACTTTTTTTTTATATAAAATTTTTTATTTTCTTTAAATCATTGATTTTACAGTCTTAATTTGTGTTTTACAAAAGCAAAGTTTTTTGTATGTAGAATTTTTTCACAATATTTACTAATTTTTATTGCAAACAATTTCATTTATCCAGAATTTATACATATAGATATATGTCAATTTAAGTTGAGTAAAATGGAGTAAACTGTCAGCAAAATGTTTATATTGTTTTGGTTAAAAATTTATCCAAAAATTTCGTTTTGATTTTTAAAAAATGTTGAATATTTTTTTTATATATATAAGTATCTAACAGGTGTGTGAAGGCTTTATTTTTCGCAGATTAAAAATTCTAATATTTCTATACAAATATTTATTTCAGTGATTTAATAAAATATTTTTCTCTTTTCGTAATTAAAAAATCTTACAAATGCTTGAGGTAATTTACTAAACAACTATATAACCTTAAAAGTAATACTGGCATAATTATTCATCTGTCTTGATTAAAATTTCGATTCCTGGTACTTGCAGTCTCCAAAAAAAAAAAACAAAAAAAAAATTATTCACAAATAATTAAATACAAGAATTATTTCCATGACCACTGATGATGGGTATTTGGCAATACTCGAAACAGCGGTATAACAGCTGTCAACTAAAAACTCAATTAATTAAACTAATATAAAAATCAATTATTGTTGTTATAGTTCACTACTGTTTGAAAAAACCTCTTTAAAATTTAAGCAAAATATATACTCATATGAATTTGTTTATATATTAAATGGTAGTATCTCATTGAATCTATGAAACTAAAGTAAGTTGGTGAACCTGCATTCGTTTCTATGAAGGATTTTTCATAATGTTTAACAATTTTTTTTTGTTTATGATTTTATTTATTGAACAAAATGGATTAAAGTGTCAGTGGAAAGTTTTGCCTCTACGATATACATTGACGGCTTCAACCTTCAAACACCGCTTC